GTCCGTCATGCTCTGGAGTTTTTGAAAATCATCCAAAGTAAGAACCATACCTAGATCCTTCCTTAATCTAAACATGAGATCTATGAACTCAAATAGCTTACGCCTCTCAGTCTCGTAACTTTGCTCTAATTTCTGGATGAAGGCGTGATAAAGTATTTCATTCCCTGTGCCCGAATGACACTTCCTCATTAGATTGCAGAAACGGGGAACGCTACCCTAATGTTTACAACAATTCAAAAAGGCCAAGTGGCAGGATTGACTTACAATTGTCTTCTTTATTCGGCTGTAATTAGTGCATTGTTTAGCAATCTTAATTCCGTAGTTTGATCGAAGGTATAAAGATCAAGATGGTGTAGCCTTTTGTGTGATCGCAGTTAATTTAAATTAATGTTATATACTGATTTTTCTCTCCCCTTTCGACTCGTTTGCAAATTCTTTATACAGGACATACTTATACATTTTTTGGCAGTACAATGATCATTTTACTTATTTTCAGATACGAGGTTTACGAGGCTAAATATTAGTCTTAAATAGGACTTATACTAATTGTGAATAAAACAATTTTATATTAGTTTTTTGACCTAGTTTTCGCGTCTTGGTCAAATTAACAGATGGTCCTCGAGAAGCGTACCTTTTCCAGAGTCTATAGTATGCATGATTATTTCAGGAGTTGCACCGTAGACTTGCTATTGTTCAATTCAACTATCATTCTTTCTTAATCTAATATATCTGATATGCTAGTTATGTGGAAAAATTAAATCCTTTCCAATGTAGATAGGAAGATTTAATTAATGTGAACGTAATTTGATCATATACAAGTTGTAGTTTGGTGCTGGGAATGACATTTAGGCTCATTGACAACGCGTGCGTAATATCTGTGGATATTAATAATCTGTTAATTTAATTTACTGTTATGTACTGATATTACTCTCATCTGTCGTCCGATTTGCAAATTATTTATAGAGGACATACTTATATATTTTATTGCAGTACAATGATCATTTTACTTATTTTCAGATATAGTTGGTTTTCAAGGCTAAATATTAGTCTTAAATAGGATTTATACTCATTGTGAATAATACGATTTTTTAGTAGTTTTTTTACCTCGTTTTCGCGTCTTG